TCTTTCCCTTAATACTGGCAAACACCAAGTACCTTCCACCTTCTGCTTCAACACAGCTACTCACACACCAACTACTCAGAAGAAAATATAAACCTATTTCTAGACTTGTTCATGTAGCTTTTAGTTCAGGAGAACCACAGCTCATGGTTATGGAAAGTCTCCAGGTGGGTTTAGAATCAGAACTGGGACCAGCCATGAATGCAATTTCACTATTTATGTGGGGAAGAGGGTCCTTCCTCAGGCCCGAGACGGGGAGAAAACCCCACCATGGGTTGGTGCATGAAGAGACAAATCTACAAAAACCCCTTGGGGTGTTTCTCAACAGCCACACACAGGTGACTTGCATGCCAGTACCAAGCCTGAGATCTGATATATTCTGTAAGGAGACATGCTGTAAGTACACCACATGCTTATCTGATTTTAACATATCTAGAGATCATGGGAACTGCTGCATCTACACCAAATAACTCATTTCATCTGCTATTTCCAGGCGCTCTGCAGCCTGGTTGTGGCTAGAGCCACAATGGCTGTCAGAACTGTGGAAACTGGACTGATGTTAAAAGTCTTCACTTCTACCCAGACCAAGTTTTCAGCAGTAAAAAATAAACCCAGTCTTAAAAGCAGCTGAACCAACAAAATCTGCAGCTTTATGCAAATCTTGACTATACAAATATATTTATAAGAACAATTATTTACGAGGTGGTTAGTATATTAATATTTAGCATTTTAGGACATTTTGCCGTGCAGGCCTCCATGTTTCTTTAGGCATTTTCATCTGGGAGTTTTCTGCTTCCAGAAAAGCACATCACAAGCTGCATGAACCTTCTTCCTGCTTTCATGTATTGACTTTCCAGTACCTTATTTTTTTCACATTTCTCATTATAACAATGTCTGTTTCAGGAAACTCTTTCTCACTACAATAAAAAGGGCCAGCCAATCCACCAGTTTGCCCGTTTAGCTGCAGATTACACTGCTAATTCCTGCTTGAGCCTGATCTTTCCCCTCACCCAAGATAGTGAGTAACCCACCCTTAACAGCAAAGACACAGGATGCAGATCCTTATCAACCTACAAGTCGAAACAGATTTTACTAATCAGAATTACTGAAGTATTTTTCAGAGTTGTTGTCTTGGCAAAGATGCTTGGAAGTATCATTGGAACCCTCTATTTTCTATTGGTCATTATATAAATGTTACATGAAGGTAAGAAGTGATTTAATTTTTTTAAGCAGTAAACAGAAGAAAACGTTGGTTCACTGGAGACAGCAGCTGCAAGCAAAACCTTTATTGGTTTTGTTAGTTGGTTTTATTGTTTCAGGTCTATGAGAAAGCCTTAATGAGCAGCTGGAGTTGTCACAAAACCCGAGCTCTGAGTGCCCTGAGCAGCCTTGCCCTGGGCCCCAGCCAGTGGGGCCAGCAGGACCCTGCCTGTGTGCCACCTCGTGTGCATGGAGGATCTCAGCAAGGTCCTGCACCATGGCATGGTCTGGGAAGGACCAAAAGGGGCAACAAAACCACCAGGCTGCATTGCCTCTGTGAGGGTCTGGCAGGGAGGGGACAGGCATGTCATAGAGGCTTTGGAACAGTCCTGTGCAAATCCAAAGTATAACAGAAGCTATCCCAGAATTTCCAACTTAGTTCTTAACACTCCAGAGCAATTTTACAAAGTTATGTCATTCTCTGCTCAAACAACCACTTGCCATAAGGGTTTTGTTTGGTTGGTTTAGTACATTTACTTCTGAAGATAAGAAAGCCCATGAGAAGATGAGCCAATCTGCTTGGTAAAGAAGAGGCTCCCAGAAAGGTTTATTTTTATTTTGCATGCCACATCCCAAACTGACAAGTACTCCTCATTATCCATTTTAATTTGGAATTAAACGAGAAAAAAAGCCCACTTTAGAATAATGATATTTGAAAGTAACAAAAGAGTTCATGGCTATTTGTGTCAGTAAATAAGTATTATGTTTTAAATCTGGTATTTATTGAATTTTACAAAGAATGCAAAATCTCCTGCCTTCAGATACTGTCCCATTTTCCTGCTACCTCTCTCAAAATGTTTTTTTGGCAGAGACAAAGACATCCTGTCTATTTATGAAACATAAATCTGTCCAACCACCTAGTTTATTTTCACACTGATCTTGTAGAAAATCAGTACTAATGCAGGAATCCTTTAATTCCTCTTCTGTGCACTCATGCACAGCAGGCATGTTAGCTCTTCTGTAGACTGGATTTTCGAGAGTTACCCATGACATCAACACAGACACTACAGTGACACCTGGTCACTGTCACTGACTCCCAAGCATAGACAACATCTCAGATAACCAGCAAATTACAATGGAAAGAAGGACGTTAACCAATGGAGCTTCACAGAACCCATCCAGCACAACACATTTGCTTTAAGTGACATCCAACACAACAGAAATAAAGGGAGACCCTCCTGCTTCAATGCTCAAATGAGTCAATTCTACATTAAATATAATCTAATGTTACATGTTTCAGTTCAACTGGCAAGTTAACCAATCTCTGAATATCACTCACCTCAAAAAAACATACAAAAAAATCAGTAACCCAAACAGCTGCTGAAATTGTCAGGAGCAAGTTTAATAAACTGCAGTACAACAACCACTGAATACAGGCCCTCAAAATGCCAAGCAGAAAACAATTAATCACCCATTCTAGTATCCAAAACTCACAAGGGCAAACCCCAAAAGCCTGCTCAGAGGTGTGCACCCCACTGCAGGAAGGACTGAAGCTGCAGCAGGGGAGCCAACAGGAGGAAATATTTCACTACCAATCACTCAACTCTCCAGCCAGCCAGAGCAAGTGTAGGAGAAGCTGACAAAAACCAGCAACTAAAGAATGTGTCACTTCTTCCTTGATGCCTCCAACCCCCCCATCCCACCTCCCAAAAGCCATCAGGAAACTGCAAGGTAAACAAATGGCTTCCTCTTCAGCACAGCACTCACAGGCTCTGTGCTAAGGAACCGTTCCACTGGACTTCACACTTGCATACTCATCATTACTCTTCCCTCCCAGAAGGAAGTGAGGCTCAGAATCAGGTCCTGTTGGTGGGAGCTGTAGGAGTGGCAAGGTTCAGGCACCTGACTTTCCATTCAGTTTAGAAAAGTAATACAGAAAAGGAGAGACGTACAGTCAAGGACGATAAAACCAAGCAGCATAAGTAATAAGTGCAGGAAGAAAAAAACAACATACTAGTTTAAAAAAGATTTAGAACAGAGTACTTGTCTGTAAAATTTTACTATGCAGTAGAGTTTATCTGTGTTTTACCTGTGGTATCAGTGTAATCAAGATTAGAAGATATCTATCATTAAAGGCATATCACAAAAGATCAAGATTGGAAGATATCTATCATTAAAAGCAACAGCATGAGAAAACACTTCATGACTACTGAGTGTTATTGGTAATTAGTGACTCCAAAAGTTTAAAAGCCCCCCGAAATTCCTTTACAATTCTAATTTGTGCCAAACACCTTTCAGCA